CCCCAAAACCCCAAAACCCCAAAACCCCAAAACCCCATTTTTGTTAAATCACTAGTTATAAATTTTATCATGGATGCTTTAAAAGCAAAATCAAGGATTGGGGCAGAGTCTTCTGCGTTATCAATGATAAGCACTGAGCTTACAACAAAAGATAGGTTCAGTGGCCAGAGACAAGCTATAAAGGCTTCTTGAAAGAAGGAAAATGGCAGATATTTAGTAGCGATATACGAAATGCTAGCTGAAATTGCCAAAGAGCAAGGTATTCTGTTTGAACGATCTGTTAAATTAGTTTTCTGTTAAGAAGGTCCTATAGGGGTTTCAAAAACAGACTTTGCTAAATTTGAATATATAGATGAAATTACAATAGAATGAATAGAAGAGGTAAGGAATTTCTATTAACTGATTTTGACTGGTATGGTCGAACGGAAGATAGGCGATTTTGAGAAATTGGTGAACAGTCTAGTGAACTTCTTTTGTTGTTATGAAAACAAGCCTAATGTCATTCCAATCATAGATTATGAAAATTTACCATCTTTGTGACGAAAAATATACCATCAGCAAATTCTTGTTTCATTTAATCCTCTGTGTTGGCTTTTATTATCGATACCTAATTTTTAACTTTATTTTACTCAAAGGAATCCAATTTGGTATTTTTAAATATGTATGAATAAAAAAGTTGCTAAAACTTCTTTGGCTCAAGCCTCAGTCTTAAAAATGGCGAAAGCAATTTTCAACAGAATACCTCTAAATTTTTATGTAAAATACGACCAAATTTGAGATACACTAAGATGTACTTCCTGAGACAAAGCCTTTGTTGGCTTTTGTTAAAATCTTTACTGATCTGTTCACACGATTGGTCATCTTCAAAATGTGACGACTCAGAACAAAGAGTTACAAATTTCTTCTGTATAGCTAACCAAAAGTAATAATGATGTTTCTGTCACAAATGAGACTACTAAGTCAGCCAAAACTGATCGGATTTTTACTAAGCAGAACCATCTTGTAAGCCTTCGTTCTAGTCATGATATAATCTTGCAATAGGAAAATCTATATGACATCCCTGATGTCCCAAGTATTGAGAAGTTGAAGGAAAAGGTATGTTGCTATTTTTTTGTTAATTTTATAGATCATTCACCAGATTAAACATACTGCCTCTCCGCTATATGATCTTGGCCTGAAGTTCACCTGTACATCTCTTCAGGTCAAGGACGCCTTTCTTAATGTTGGGTCCAAATACATACAGATAATAAAGGAAAATTCTGATAAACCAGAGTTAATAAACAGACAGTTGTACAAGTTAAAGCGGATTATAGGAGCATACCAGATGCTCAACGACCCTGAAGGACTTAGCCTCTACATTCATAACATAAGGATCCGTAGTTTGATTAATCAAGAGACTACAGCATATAGAGATACCAGGAATGGGGCTTATTACCCATTCATGATATTCTCCGTATCTGAGAAAGACACAGTGATGATGCTAGAGCTAAACTTTATTACTGAGACTATTGTCCTTCGAGTTAAAGACCATGAACGGAAGGAATACTCTTTCAGTCAGATCACTAATGTCTTACAAGGAGTTGAACATGACAAGTTCATTATCGAATTCAATTTTGGCAAGAATAAGATCCGTACTTTTGAAGCAACCTACCAAGGCCAAAGAGATTTGATCATTAAGTGATTGCTTTATGCTAGCCAGATCTTTGCTGTCACAGAAAGTCCCAAATATGATATTCTCAAGTAAAGACTTACAGTAAAATTTAGATTCCAGAGGGAAAATTCAGAAATTTTTGGAGAAATTGACCAAAATGGTCACTACAGTATACTATAATCATTAATTTTGCTTCTAGTAAGAGAACCTGCTTCTGATATGTCCACAGAGTCGAGATTTCAGTTGATGAGAGTTTTGATGGATGATTTCCAACTTCCACCGAAAAGTCTCTGAAAAGCCAAGGTTAAGAAGAAAAATAAGAAAGTTGGGTGGGAAACTCGCTACTGAGCACTTGGGCTTACTCATCTCTTAATCGCAAGGGACGAAGGTTTTCACAAGTTGCTAAATGTAGTTCCTTTGACAGCAGGGACTTTCGCTATCAAACGCAACAAAGACACCATCACTTTACGTACATCAGAGCGAGAATTCATTATAAAATTTGAGAATCAAAAACAAACCGAAAGTTGGTTCCTAAACATCGTCCAGCTGACAGGAAGAGAACTGATAGATTTTGCATCAGAGACTTCTAAGATAAAACAACATCGGGATATCTCCTCACAGATGAAGAAGTATCTCGAGGTTGAGAAAGAAATCAAGCAGACTTTGATTTAAGTTATCTGACTTAAATAGCCAAAAAGAAGAGCTTGAGAAATCCTTAAGGAAATAACTATGACTTTAAAGAGTACACTAATTCAGAGTATAAACTTGAAAATTACAAAGATTCTATTATAAAAGACTCTGTGAAGGTCATCACCAAGGTAAGCAAGGATTTAACAGCTTAGATATATGAAGAAATTAGCCAACTCAAGAATGTTAAGTATACATCAGCTGCTCTCCAGTTACAGAATAAACTTGAAAGTGTAGCCTCTAAAAATAATATCAATAAGAAAGGTAAGATAAGAAGTGATCATCTGTAGAATCTTCTCAGGTTGATAAGGAATCTCAGGGTGGAAAGAGTGACGAGAAGATCGACAAATACTATCCTCCGAACCTTAGCAATAACTACTACATCTTCAAGGAGTCAGACACTGAGAAGTTAGCAGTGTCCATGGAGATGCTGAAGCAGCTGAAGGGAAACGTTCCAAATAATCATTATGTCAGTTCAAAGAAGAAGAAGCGAGACAAAGAGAAATCTTTGTTGACATCTTAAATCGATATTAATTTTTATTCAATATTTATGCTAAATTAAGGGGTTTTGGGGTTTTGGGGTTTTGGGGTTTTGGGG